CTGTAGACTAAGGGAAAGTAGCTTGAATAGGAAGCTCGATGTACGACGAAACAACTCCTCTTCTTTTGTTGGGATGCATCTTGTAGGCACGCGTGTATATGTCGACTACCTAAAGAAACGCAGTTTGCCGCGTCAACAGCGAAATGTGTTCGCGACGAATACACTTTACGATAATGCACGCCAAGCTTCTTGGCTTTTACCTACGAGTGAGGATCTTCTAAAGTTTTCAGGTCGCGAATCAGACTCGAAGATCTAGCCTTCGCGATATCGCCAGACGATTTTTTTTTTTTTTTCATCGGATTAATCCTTTTTGTTTGTATATAACTTACTCTTACATAGTATCCGAAACTTTGATCTCGATAAAAAACGCATAAAGAGTTTCGAAAGTTTAAGTGTTTGACCAGTAGAGAGAAAGAGAGAGAGAGAGAGAGAAAATATCAAAAACTTTGTCGTAGACGTGGAAGTTATTCTTCTTGCCTATATTTTACTAATATCTCGCAAATTTTATGGAAACTAAATATTCGCTCGCGGTCGCCTCAGCTAATATTCCCGATATCCATTTTACCGATTCGGAAATACGCGCGGAAATGTAAATTTTATTGCAATACGAATAGGAAAGTTTCGTTTGCAAATTTTGTCGTCGATGTGTTCTTTCGATTCCTAGGTAAAACTTCGATTGGATTAATACGATGTCACGAGTAGCTCGTGGATTCTTCCTCTCACCAAGTTTTCAGTTGCTTTTCTCCTCCTTTTTGCTGCTCCGTTAAACTGAATAACAATGTCGGAACTCCTTGTAGAATTCGCTAGACGAAGCACCTTTGAGACTTGATCATAATTGAAATGGGGGTTTCAATTTTGCTAGAATAATAAGTTTTTTCCCAATAGAGAATTTCTTTTGTACTCGCTTCTGATTCTTTTAAAAGTGTTTATAAGGACGTATTATATTTTTACAATTGTATTAATAATTTATATATTTTAAATAAATTATGTACATATGAAAATTGTGTTTACAACAATTTTGTTTCTTGACTAACACGTTTTCATCATTTATTCACTTTAATTTTGCTTTTATAAATTAAAATAGTAAAATTAATAAAAAATTTGATATTTTTGTACGAGTACCTACTTTAAGTATTCAAAATGATTCGTATAAAGTTTCATTGCGATTTAAACATTAGTTGCAACAATTTAGAAGAAATAAGTATTTTGTTTATTTATAGAATAACTAATTCTTTGCATCACAATGTAATTGTACATAAATCATCTCGAATACTTAAAATACAACAAAATAGAGATTTTTATCATTATTTTATAATACGTTTCCATACATTTCTATTAAAGCACGAATTAAAATAATACTATTTATTGAAATAACTTTTGGTCCAGATGATAAATCGTCGTTGAACTTTTTATGTTACTTAAATACGACCTAGAATAATCTAATTCTTTCATAACTTTTTTCATTATTTTAAATATGTGTGGAATACACTCTAATGTATAATATATCCAGTTAATAGAATCGTTAATCAACGAGTCAGGAAATTTTCCGAAAGTGATAAAATCATTATTAGCAAGAAATGCCATCAGCGTGTTAATATTAATATTCAACAGTCTCGTGTGCAGCGAATCGTTTGTCAATATTTACTTTGACATATTACATCCAGTACATTCGCGCACAGTTATATTCGCCGGTGGCTGTATCGGCGAAGGCAATTGAAGAAATTGATCGCTCATACAGATAAACGTTGTTTTACGAGTCCATATATCCGTCTTTCGTGATACAGTACGTGGACCTTCGCTTGAATGCAGAATACCGAAAGCTGAGCGAGGGAGAAGCGACAGATATGTCGATAAGCGAACATCGATCATCTTTCTTTTACGAACGACAGTCACAAGAGATTTTTGCGAATTACACAGTTTGTACATTGTGCAAATAGAAAAGCTCGGTTCTTGCTATTGATTCCCCGTCTTTTCAAGCGTACCCTGTATACATTTCAATGCCATGGAAATGGAATGGCCGACGTCACTTTGCGGCTCGAAAGTGAATGGAGGGAAACACATCACGTGTTTACACGCAAGATATTTGTCTTTCTACCTCCGTGCGCGCCGCGAAACATCGGTCGCTCCAGTTCTACCTCGGATACACCGACTCGGCATAATGCCGTGTTCCATCTTCCTTGATATTAGTACAAGTTATGTTTGCTGTCACGTCTGTTCGCATCATCGTTGACTAAGAACTTGCCCGAAGTTTACATAATTTGTAAAGTAATATCGATAAATAAGTGATATAATCCAGCCGACGGGGGTCGCATTACGACAGACACGAGCCGTCTCCGGGACTGAAGTTAGATGGGGTCAGTTGTTGGGTGTACCATCCAACTTCAGACAGTCTAATTAAACTATACTCAATTATAATTCCTCCGAATTACCCGTGCATTCCGGACACGAGTATCGGCTCGGGCACGGCACGCCGTAAATTTACTTTCTAATTAAAGTGCTATGCTGAACTATACGATTGAACCGTGAAGTGAAAATTTAATCTCCCCTTCTTGTTCCATCATAAAATAGAAAACTTCCTTTTTATCTCTGCACCATAGAGCGACCATTGGGCTGCTCCGGGAAGCCCATATTGAGTGATTACTTTGTCACGCTGCTTGCTATTTTCTTACTTTTATCGTTAATTATCACGACAGTGATTAATTATCGTTATTTGCGCATGTAGCGCCACTTCTTATTTACACCTTCAATTATTTCAGCTAAAATTAGCTGTTTTATCTCACGAACTCTTTTATTATCGTTATACGGTTAGAGGTTTTTAACGTCTCCGTTATATACGATCTTCGGCTCGATCTTCGGTTTGCATCGACATCGGTTCTCTCTCGCGGTTCACGTCTAGATTACTCGTGAATTGGATCTCCGTTATATCTCTGACGTAGACATGCGTCAAGCGCTTCTGTTCGGCGGGCCAACCAGGTTTACTCCAAAATCAGCGAGCCAGCGAACTGAATGATTCGGATTCAGCATAAGTTACTACTCGGTGAATATATCCCTTAATTCTCGTGAGCGAGTCAACGCTCGTCGCAACGTGCCTTCTGACATCAAAGCTCGATTCTGCGACGTCCGCGCGCCATCGGTTTCGAGCGCAGAAATGAGATTTCCATGCAACAGAGTTACCGAATTTAGTTCCAAATATTCCTCCAGCTGCATGATTTCTCTGTCTATCAATATTTTTGCGTTTCTAATTCTGTACTCATAGTTCTGTAAAATTTTCTATTTTCATTACAAATTGTTATTGTAAGTTGAGATATAGATGCTCCCCAGCGTAAGTTATGAATAATTTTCATGAATTATAATATCATATATAAAATGATATATTTTACGATATAAAAATGTACATTTATACGGAAAAAACATTTTGTATTAGAGACAGTCTACAAGTTCTTGCTAAAATTTTGTGTTAAATTTTTAACATACTTGATTGTTAATTTAACATATTGTGTTATTTGAATGTTTTGTTTTAAAATAATATTTAATATGTTTTAGTGTTAAAATAACACAATTTATCAGGCGAACAAATAATATAAAAATTATATTTTTCGAAATGTAAATTCTAGATAAATAAAAATGTGACACATGTGTTACAAATGTATAATTTATTAAAATATGTTAACATATCATGGACCATTTAGAACATGTGAAATGTGTTAAATTTAACATAAATTTTTCAATCAAAAATTTGTAAAATACATGTTTTTGATTTTAATGTAGTACAATAAAATTGATATTGTTATGCCCGTTCCGTGTCGACGCCCGTTGGATTGTTTCCGTTCCGAATTTTGAAATGAGAAACACGTCGTGACGACGCTGTCTTTTGAAAATAAACAATCCAACGAGCGTCGGCACGGAACGGATATAACAATATTAATTCTTTAAATTCTTTCGAACTTGACTTTTAGAAATAAAAATTAAGCCAGTCTTGAAAAAGAGCGATTCAATCTTTAATAATGAGATTTCTTCAGAGTGAGATTCACTTTAAAAGTTTTAGAGAGTATCATGACAAAAGTTAGAACTAATGTTCATTTTTATCAATATAGATTAACTTCAGCTTCGGTTTAATTCACTTTTTATTTTCTTCTAGTTCCAATTAAAATTAAAAAAAAAAAAGACTAAAATTAAATTAAACTGAGATTAAAAGTTAATTTACATTGATAGAAATGGACATCAGTAAATGGATTAAATATCGACTTTTACAAAGTTGCAGAGGATTGCTCTTAATCATCGTAATAATAATAAGCAGACAATGTGTGGCAATAAATGAAACGCACTGCAGGAAATCTCACTCGATGGCTCGAGATTCTTGAGAACATTTGACAGTTTTATAAGTGCAAATTTGAGATCAGAATGTAATTTATAGGTATATATGTCGATAATTACATTTTGCATAATTCGAACTAAACTCGTTTGCGGCGGTCTGTGGTGGCCGGCAGTGAGGGGCGGAGGGAATGGTGGGAGTCGACGCGCGCGGCCATGTGCTCGCGTCGTAGCGCTCGATCAGTCGACGCCGCGCGCTCGCATCGAACGGATCTTTGTTGAGAGGGATACTTCCTCGCGAGACAAACGTGTTATATCCACGAAATACGAGCGTCCCCTCTCTCGTGCTCCATACGTGTGCGACACGTGAGTCACAGCACCGCGATCTCGAGGAGTACCGATGCACTTTTCCTGAGCGCGCGATGACGACGGTGATCGCGCGTAATCGTTTCTCGCATCCTTCGAGCCTTGTGTGACGTGCGCCTTTCCGTCGTCGCGTGGAAAGCCGTCGCGAGGGAGAGGAGCGGGCACTGATCGAGAGGGGAAAAGAACACGCCGGAGCACTCCACAGCCATCTCGAAAAATGTCAAGGTGATCGTCTCTCCCTTTGCGTCTCTCGTCCTCTTGACGTCTCGAGGAAAAACGCTCGTACGCGTGAAACGTTGTGCTTTTCTCGCGTTGGATCCGGATCTCGTCGGTTCCGCGTTCCCGGTGCCTCTCGCCGCAACCCCATCGCCGTATCGCGCATCCTGGAGCGCGATCCCCTCGTCGGTTGAGAGCCTACCATAGTCAGAATGCATCACACGGCGCCGTGGTATCTGCCCTGGGGCCTGAAGCTGGTGCCGCTGCCAATCCCTCCGGGACACCCCGCCTCCGGTATCCCAAATCCTGGCCTACACCTGCTGACGCCTTTACCTGGAATCTACGCACCGGAGCCGCGTAAGGTACGCTTCCTCCCTCTCTGTATCATCTCGCGATTTCACTTTGTAAATCGGAAACTTCGTTGTGACTCTTTCCCAAGGGACGTTCCGTACTACAGGTACGTCCCTTTCCCGGAAAATAAAACGGAAAACCTCATTTCGGAGGTATATATACGACGACATCGAGGGTGAGTTATCTCGATGCGTCGCCAAAAATTGAGTTAAGCGGGCTAGAAAAAAGTTGGAAATTGATTTCGGCTTCCGAAGACGCGGAGAATCCGGGACTTAAACGAGATATATCGTGCTTCTCATTCAAGCTGCGAAGTTTTAAGTTTACTTTGAATCGCCGAGATTTAAAGTTCGTTATTTCGAAGAAAGCGTATTCGCCTCTTTTCGTTATCGCCGAACGAGTCGACACGTTTGTGCCTCGGGCGAAAGCATCGTTCAATGAGAATGAATCGACGAAGTATATAGTCGTGATTGAAAAGTTGCAACGTTGTTTCGCGGAACTGCGGAACCGTCTTCTCTTCTTTCGCGGAATCACCTACGAGCGATACTTTGAGCGACTTCATTCGTCAATGGTAATATTTGGGGCATGATTTATTTATATCCGATGATGCCGCGAACGACGTATAGATTGGAATAGATCGTTTAGTTCAGGAGCTATGATAGTTGATAGAGAGCGGATTATAGGCGATTGCATCGAGTGTTATGCATGGGTGACGTGAGCAGCAAGATGATGTGCCGCGTTTCTTACTTCTTCGTGAATCACGCTGTGTTGCAATCGAAGCATTAGATCTTTTTATTCAAAGTAAGAATTATACACTATTAGATATCAAAGGAGCGATGGTAACTCCAATCCCTTGAGTTAAATAACATATAACTGCCATGTGTGCTAAGATAGAAATTATGTAATCCATTTCTGTGCAGTTAGTTTTTAAAATAAATAATATCCACATTTGTATTAACAAATGCACTTACTTAATAAATAATAAATTAAATTTTTGAATTAAATTTAATGCATTTTCTCGAGTTGGATTGTTTAACTATAACTCTCAAGTTGAGAGTATAATTTGACATTATGAATTTAACTGTACGATAATAAAACTGTAAGATAATAAATAATCTTAATTTTGTCGTATGTAATGTGTGTTTCGCTGAAACTTTAATTAAAGGTTTTATATTTGAACACTTTGATAAATAATTACTCTCGGAGAAAAACATAGTGGTGGCATTATAAACACTGTCGTCACTGTTAAATCTATAGTGTTAAATTTAATCTAATTTAAGTCACCATTCTCCTACTCAATATATCGTTATTTTGTACTAAAACAATGGATAAGTTTGACACTAGTGTCAATTTGATACGTTCCACTTAACGTTTGCAACACTTGCGAGTATTACATGGTCCTTCTTGTCATCAAAAATTAAACAAGGATGAGATAATATACATGAGCATTACGAACGTTCGTAGAAGGCACCTTCTATGTACAGTGTCAAATAAGAGACTTAAATTAAATTAAATTCGACACTACAGAACTTAACGGCGGATATAAAAAAATGCAACGATAATATAATAAAATTACTTACAGTTAAATAATATTTCGTTAATTTTAATTTCTATGTGCATTAAAATGTAAATGAATACATTTATGTGTTTAGTCAAAGTAAACAACGTTTACGTTAAGTAAATATAATAAACTAAATTTGAGTCAAATTTAATGCATTTCTTGAATTAAATTGTTTGACTCCATTGTTTTAGTTATTAAATTAACGACATATTTAATAGAAGTGGCGACATACAGAAATAATTAAAATAATTTGGATACAATTTAATATGATGAATTTAACAGTGTAATGATGATAAGAAATAATCTTAATTCAATCGCGATGCGTGTTTTGCTCTGAAATTGTAGTTAAAGGTTTTGAATACCTTATTCAAATAAATAATTACATTGCACTCTGAGAAAAACATCAATGTGGCATTATAAACACTGTCGGAAATCAAAAAGCAATGATAATCCAATTCCTTTAGTTGAATAACATTTGTTAATTATAATTTGTATATACGTCAAAGTGTAAATCAATACATTTGTGTGTTTAGTTTCAAAGTAAACAACGTTCATATTAATACATAATACGTATGTACTTAGTAAATAATAAACCAAATTTGAGTCAAATTTAATGCATTTCTTGAATTGTCCAACTCTGTTGGTTCAGTTAAATTATTGACATATTTAATAGAAAAGCATTGGCAATCTAGAGACATTGCAAATAATTAAAAATAAATCTATTTGGATATAAATTTATACTTTAACAGTGAAAATAACAACTATACAAATTTTATAGAATTTATAGAATTAATGTACATAGTAAAATAAATTATTTTATAGTTGCAACTATAAAATGATTTATTCAATTATGTAAGTACATTAATTCTCTACATATAAAACTTGTTACCGCCTTGTGTGTTTTTCTTTGAGTGTAATATATTGAGAGAATAATATTGCGATAAGTTTATAAAAAATCCTTTTTATGGATGCACAAAATATTTCAATCGTCGCGCATATCGTTAATTTTTGTCAATAGAAATAATTGAAATTAAGAAACAAGTATATCGAAATTAAATTCGCTATAAACGAACATTTATAATATTATTTATAACAATTAACAATAGATACTGTATAGCGTGTAACGGGTTCTCCTATTTATAAATAATTAGACCTGTCCGTGTGCCAAATTCAATCCAGTTATCTGGTTTGTCTGTCTGTCTGTCTGTCCTTAGCGCGCTTCTATTCTAGGTAAAATCTAAATAGTCGACGCGTACGAAGGCGAATGTGCATCTAAAATAACCTGCAGAATGCTCGTCGCGTGTATTAGAGATAGCATGACGAGTATTCATACCAGCCGACGCGTTTACACGTCCGCGAGGAGTCAGCAACCCTAGCTTAGAGGACCTTTGAATTCGAATTTGCCCAGATATCGTGCGAACGATGGGTGCTGAATATTTCACGTTGCGTTGTGAATTACGATCTGATAGCTGGGGTAGCAAAAATTGGCCCGGCCCGATATCGGCGATAAGCGAGTCAATTTGTACACGGCTCTGCCAAGCTTTATGAAAAATGAGGATATTATCTTCCTTAAATATAAAAATCTAAAAGATAAAATCTTCGGGATGGAATCTAAAAAGGACAGAGTGACAATAAAAAGTGAAATCTCACTCTTAAAAATTGACAATTGAATCATTCTTTTTCAGTACTTGCACGTCAATTTTTAAGAGTGAGATTTCACTTTTTATAGTTAGATTCCACTCTAAATATTTTAGAAATACTGAGAAAAGGTTACTTAAAAATTTATTTGTGAGAAATATACACTTATTTTACTAAAATAAATTTCTATTTAAATACGACGACATTAAATTTTATTCCCAGCAAATAAGTCATTTACTTAATTTTTTATAATTAATGAAATGTACGAGTACTATATTTCATAAATATATAAGTATATTTCAACATCACAAATCTTTTCACAACTAAGAAATATCGAAGAAAACATAAATAACATTTGCTTCGCGATACTTCGATATTTTCTCTCAGTGTAGTAGCTTTGGAAGAAAAAGAGAAAATAAAGTAGAATTGTCTTCTCACGAAAGCAGGATTCTAATAATAAGAGACGCGGAACTTCCGTAGCGAGAGTTGCGATTAGCGAAATCCGATTCGACTCCGAACTTCTTTCGCGCACGTTTCATCAAACTTGATATAACTATATGTAAATCTCTCTTCCCACGTGTTCGCGTACTAATGGTCTCTTAATGCTGTTGCACTTAAAACGTGCATTATTAATGGGTACAGATCGATCTCGAAGCGCGCAGAGACGGAGGATGAGTGTTTTTTCCACCGCGTTTCAGATCGAGTGATTCGTTTCGTGCACATAGGTTGGAAAACTTGAATTGACTCGAAGTTCCAGGCCTGAGGATATAGAGACGTTCGCGATATAGAGACCATTTCAGAATAATGAAATTACCGGGGGCAAAAGTGGCCCGCCTTCCTTGCATTCCGTCGCTCTCTCAGATCTTCCCTTGGGTAAAGACCTGGGGATTCTCTTGAAAATTCGTGTCGAGCAGGTACCGTTGTCGGCGTAGCGCACCACCGGCGAGTACGCTCCAACGGTGCGGTAAACGTTTCCCGAGTGCATACCTATAATTTGACGAGCACTTTACCGTCACTTCGCCGTGTTCGCATTTGCGAGCGACGCTTTTCCGCAGCGACGCGCTTCTGCCCGCTCGTCCGGCATTACCGTAAGTCGTGGGATATGAAGTTCTCGGGATAGGAAAAAAAGGAGGTCATGTCGCACGACGACCATCGTGCCACGCATGATAACATCGTACGAAACTTAATTAGAAAAACTGATTTATGTCTATTTATATCAATGTAGATTAACATCTTGATTTAATATACGTTTTACCTTTTTCTAATTCTAAACAATGGAATGAGGTACACAGAAAATTTGTATTAAATTAACATATTTCACGTGCGTCCCAAACGGTCTACTCAAATTATTTTAACACAAGATGAATATGTTAGAAAGTAACATGAGTATGATGTTCAAAAATTAACACAAAATATGTAACATTGATTTGTAAGCAAATTGGTGAATTTATGCAAGCAATTACGAATCAATTTTCATGTAATAGCAGATTTTGGCGAATCATGGTTGAAGGCAGATGATAGTTCCGATATCGTTCGTATGCGTTAGCCAAAATTTACTGATCGTGAGACACGCTTCCGCTTTTCTGGACATGTAGATCACGTAGTTGGGATAATGCAGCCGAAACTAACCTACACGTGTGTGCTGCACCACGCCAATTCAGACACGGGAATGGACGATCGCACGCGCGAGGAAACTTCATGAGCAAACAGGTGCGCCGTGTCTTCGACCGATTTAGCGATCTATCTTCCTTGTAGAGAAAATCTACACTCGATCGACCGCAATTCGACGTCCCATGCGAGCACTTTCCAGGACGC